AAAATTGAAACCACAAAATATCTCCATACTGCTCGTCCGTAGTGATCCAAGTGTCCTGAAGCCCCGACATAAAAAGTTGTTTGGAAAAACATCATTTGAACTCTGTTTTTATTCTCATTGTAGCCTGTAGCTCTAACTGCCTCTCTGTGCAGCGCGTTCACGTGTGTGCACTTACGCGAGACCGTGAGACATGGGCACTGCGTTCATGTATGTTCACGTGCTTTCGCTGGTCTCGCACGCAAGCGCACACACGTGTTGTTGCTACCCCCTCCCCCCTCAGATCTCTGCAAGTGTTGTGAGGACTCTAAAACTTCACCTGAGCCTCCCTCGGCATATGGATGAGTAGATAATGGCTGAATTTTCATTTTTGGGTGCACTATCCCTTTAAGGTAACGAAAACATGTTTCTCATTTTCAGATGATTATTCAATGAAGAAAACATTCTTATTTTATTCAGTTTCTGCCAAAATATCCCCCTAAAGCAGGGATACTAAACTTGCTTTGCTCATGGTCCACTTTTGCAAAATGACAAGAGGTCAGGGGCCAGTCACAGCAGCTCTGCGTTTGTCAGGTTTATACAGGGGCATTTTTAGGATCTAAGGACATTTAAGGCTTAAGTGGGATTTATACTTGTGAGGCAGACCCTACGCTGTAGCCTACGCGTGTCGCCTACGCCATTGTGAGCATTCATACTTGTGCGGTGGTGGGTCTGTGTCACTCTGCAGTTACACCTCCAAAACACTTGTCAGTGACGAGATTTCTGTGAAGTGCTGTAAAGATTAGTTGATTCAAAACACACATTAAACACACATTAAACGTGGTTTAATAGAGACAATTTCAAACACAAGTACACAAATCAGCTTCACTATAACTCACAGCATTCACAGACAAACACTTGTCTTTATCTGGACACATTTTCCCCACAAATACAACATGCTCATGTTTTTAGCACAAGCCTATGGCATTTTACATTGTATAAATTAGCCTAGCAGCTAGCGGACTTTTCCTCTACTCATATGAAGCCAGGGACAACAGCAACATTTAACAAAGATAATGTTACAAAATTCGGCTCCATTACAACTCACAAGGTTCACCGACAAAACAACTGTCTAAGACTAAACATGTTTTCCAAACAAATACAACATGCTAACGTTATTAGCACAAGCCTATGGCATTTTACATTGTATAAATTAGCCTAGCAGCTAGAAGAGATTTCCTCTGCTCATATGAAGCCAGTATAAATCCCCGAAGGATAAATCAATTTTAATAAATGCTATTTTTGTGGAAGCTTTATTGTCTACACAATGTATTGTTTCTTATCTGTCAAATTAAAGTAAATAAAAGCTTCTTTTCCACGGGATATGGTGCGGATTTGGCCAACATGCTGTCAGCTGAGTGTCACTGCCCTAAATCCTACACACTGGACCTTTAAAATTGGGTTTAGAAATAGAAATAACCATAGCGAAATGTAGTTTGTTTCAACTCTAAAGATGACCAAACTTTTCACACCTGCCTGTGACTTGGCATCAAACAAAAACAACAGCTCATTCAATGTGTTTTCAAATAACCGCTCCCTGAATCAAATTAACTTCATTAGCTCAGGATTCTTTGGTGTTGTGGTGTGATTACACATCCTCCGGTAGTTTTTTCACATTATTGCAGCCATATACTCCCACAGGCTGGGCTGTGTGCCAGCTTTATATCATCTGATCTCAGTCCATGACACAATTATGGCTTCCCTAATGTGTTGAGGAGAACCAAAGTGCTGCCCAAGGGTGTACGCACATGGTCACACATATACGCCTTTTCACGTCGCATACTACGCAGAACGGTGATATCATCCTGATATTCTTTAATAACAATTTTAGAGGATTGCATTGTACACAGGAAAGGATTTGTTTCAACTGGGTCATAATGATTCATCAACTCAAAATACCCACTGTAAGGAAACTGACATCACACATTAGTCATATTTTGTGATCTAAAATCCCATATCTTGCTTTCAAATTCTTCAAGATGCACAGTACAAATGTTTAGATTGTGTTAAAAGGCACCTAGAGCTGCAACTACTTGTTCTGATTCTTGGTTAATCAACTGTTCAATAAATGCCAGAAAACATCTTCAGACTGCTTGTTTTGCCACTCCAAAACTCTACATATTCAATTTATTATCAGAAAAGTTGAAACCAGCAAATTTTTGGCATTTTTGCATGAAAAAAAAAACTTAAATGACTTAACTATTAACAAAATTATTACCTTTCAGTCGATTGAACAATTGATTGACCAATCATTTTAGCTTTATATTCCTATAAAAAATGGAGCTGAAGTGAACGCCTGACTGTGCATTATGCACATCTTAAAGTGATACTTTGTCGATTTTCAACCAGGTCTGTGTCACAACATTGTGGGTAGTATGTGTAAATAAAATATGTTAAACTTACCTCCATCTTATCAGCACTCAGATCTCCCTGCTCATTTCCCAGTGAAAATCTACCAGATGACACATTTCTGGGATTTTTGGTGGCTCTGGTGCTGTTGCAAACTACAGATTTGGACACAAAGAGTATAGACGCACCTCTCTAAAACTAAGTCCAAACTGTAAAACTACCCAGTGCCGATCAAACACAAACCAAGATTCAGTTAATGTTGCCTTTTTCTCACCTAAAATGTCTTCAGGAACATACAGTGCACTGTTTACCTGTAACACAAGAGTTTGCAAACAGGAAGTGAGCGCCATACTGTTTCCTGTATTGTAAAAACAAGCAGAAAAAACTGAGCTCAAACAATAAAACTAAGCAGTGTTGATCAAATATGAAAGATTCTGTTACTGTGTTGCCTATTTCTGTCCTCACATGTTTTCATGAACATATTTTAGCATGTGTGTTGGTCCAGTGTGGCGCAGTGCATTCTGGTAGTTGGCGGTTTTCAAAAGCAAAAGTCACAGCCCCTTTCCTTTGTTTTCTCTGGTTGCATAGCACCAGTGTCATACGTATTTGCATCTTTCTATTCCATAGACAGCCTAGTTTTTTGGACCATCTTTCCAGCAGTGAAATACTTCTTTAAGGTTACATTTTGAACAGCACTGTCACAGAGTATTGTGACCTTTACACGTGTCACTGTTTTAGGCCCTGAGGCAACTTTACACCTGGATACATTTGAGTGAGTTCTCCTCACATTGGCCTCTCACTTGTGATTCATCACGGTCAAGTATCAGCACATGCACTAGTGGCAAGTGCCTGACAAATTGTAGAATGAATTCACGTGCACCTGCAGTATACACTCACCAGCCACTTCATTAGGTACACCTTGCTAATACAGAGTTTAGCCTTCAGAACTGCATTAATTCTTGGTGTCATAGATTCAACAAGGTGCTGGAAACATTCCTCAGAGATTTTGGTCCATATTGACATGATGACATCACACAGTTGCTGCAGATTTGTCGGCTGCACATCCATGATGAGAATCTCCCGTTCCACCACATCCCAAAGGTGCTCTATTGGATTGAGATCTGGTGACTGTGGAGGCCATTGGAGTACAGTGACCTCATTGTCATGTTCAAGAAACCAGTTTGAGATGATCTGAGCTTTGTGACATGGTGCGTTATCCTGCTGGAAGTAGCCATCAGAAGATGGGTACACTGTGGTCATAAAGGGATGGACACGGTCAGCAACAATACTCAGGTAGGCTGTGGTGTTTAAACCATGCTCAGTTGGTACTAAGAAAATCTCCCCCACACCATTACACCACCAGCAGCAGCCTGAAGCGTTGATACAAGGCAGGATGGATCCATGCTTCCATCTGAATGTGGTTTTTCCAATCTTCTATTGTCCAGTTTTGGTGAGCCTGTGTGAACTGTAGCCTCAGTTTCCTGTTGTTAGCTGACAGGAGTGGCACCTGGTGTGGTCTTCTGCTGCTGTAGCCCATCTGCTTCAAGGTTGGACGTGTTGTTGGTTCAGAGATGGTCTTCTGCAGACCTTGGTTGTAACCAGTGGTTATTTGAGTTACTGTTACCTTTCTATCATCTTGAACCAGTCTGGCCATTCTCCTCTGACCTCTGGCATCAACAAGGCATTTTCACCCAGAGAACTGCAGCTCACTGGATATTGTCTCTTTTTGGGACCATCCTCTGTAAACCCTAGAGATGGTTGTGTGTGAAAATCCCAGTAGATCAGCAGTTTCTAAAATACTCAGACCAACAACCATGCCACATTCAAAGTCACTTAAATCACCTTTCTTCCCCATTCTGATGCTCGGTTTGTACTTCAGCAGGTTGTCTTGACCATGTCTACATGCCTAAATGCATTGATTAGCTATTTGCGTCAACAAGCAGTTGAACAGGTGTACCTAATAAACTGGCCAGTGAGTGTATTTAAAGCTCTCACTCCTTCCTGATCAATTTGACATTGTGGCTTCTTCTGTCACTGATTTAAAATAATACATTTCCACCTGCAACACTTCCACCCTACTGTGGTGTTTCAGTATCACCTATTGTTTTTATGACAATAGGTGCAGTGAGCTGTTTGCATTTATAATCTCTGCAGCCAAATATTATTGAGAAAGTTCTCAAAGACAAGACAAGACAGTGTGCTGAGCTTTTTGCACTAGCTGATTGTGTCCTGTCTTGTCCCCCTGTAATCAAGGTGATTGATGAAAGACTCATCAAAAACGCCCACCACAGTTCCGGGTCACTGTCTGACAGACCTACTTGAGGTGTTGGGTGTCCCCATGTTCACTAATTTAAAGTTGTCTGCGTGTCATTGACTCTCTGATGGACTGCTCTGCTACGTGACGGACGTCAGGAAAACTCCAAAGCTGAATGTTTCTCCTTCTCAAAAGGGATGAGGGGGTTTAAAGAGTGGGAGGAGGGGAGGAGAAGGGAGGAGGGGTGATGCATCCTGCGGTCTGGGATCACAGTGTGTGTGACTGACGTTCTTGATTCATCATCCAACAACCACATGAGCAGCATGGATATATAAGCTGGAGCACACCTGCTCAACCATAACGACTTCAGACCTCCGCCAACTGACCTCAGCCTGTTACCAAAGTTCAGGGTAAGAAGCTGCTGTTTACGGGTATTCTTTTATTTTACCTTTCTTTTACACAGCCTGACAGATTCACTTTATTAAAACAGACATGAGATACTCTAAGTTATGTGGCAATTATTTTACAAGAGATTTTATGTGAGAGGTGTATTTGTGTCAACTGCAGTATTGTAAGACTTACAGCTGTGCCACACTTATGATGGATAGGGTACTTATTATATTGGTAGACGAGTTAGTAATGATCACCATAGTGTGTTTTAAACCCTGTTAAACTAAAAAGATATTTCTATAAGAGCTTTTGGTGCTTATCAGTGAGGTTCACATGATTTAGTCTTACTTAATGGTATTTCTTATCTCTTATAATGATCGAGAAGTAGTACAGTTCTTTTTAAAAGTGAATTTTTATTGATCATACTTGATATTTTTGATGTCTAATTATAGAAGTTTCAACTTTTTTCCCCCTAATCTTTGTTTTCAGTGTTCTTGAGCGTGATATTTTACTGACCAGCATCCCTCCGTCCTCTCCAGTGCCTTTTAGCGACTCCACAGCATGCTGCCTGGGAGAGCGGCTGATGTCCAGCACTGCGTCCTGACGAGCCGCTGGCTGCCTGCAGCTCTGGCGCTGCTCCTCCTCCTCTCCTCCAGCTTCAGCAGTGCTCACAGCACCACGGTGGAGCACGACTTACACATTGTTCACAATGTCGACAACAGAAGTAAGACTTGGTTTGATTGTTTCATAAGCTGCAGAATTTCTTGAAGTAGTTTAGGGAGATTTAGGAAGCCAAAAGGGGGACAGAGGCAGAACGAGGGTAAAGTATATTTTAACATGTTCCTATGTGCAGTATGTTTATGGTTTGTTTTTGGCTGTTAGTGGTGAGTTCAGTGACCTCCTTCTACTTTCTGTTCCCATATGGATTTATTGTAAGGCTATTAGATTTTACCTTTAGAAATAATGTATGTTGTAAATGGCTAAAGTTTGAAAAATTTCTGCGTAACAATAAATACATTTAAGTATTAGATATTTGTTTTAAAAGAGAGTTGCTCAACACTTTTTATTTTGCTAAAAATGAGAAATATCCTCATCCACTAGTTTGCGGTACACTTTTTATCTTGTGATATATAAATAAGTGTATTATTTTTTCACAACTAACTTAGCAAAAACAGCCTGATTATTGCTTTATTCATTGGAATTATATAGTGTTTTCATTTTAAATGTGTATATTAATATAGTCTGAATGATTTTACAGAGGTTAGAAATGAATGTTTTAATAATGTACTATCTTCTTTATACCTTATAATGCTACTGTATCATAATAGAGTAAATTAATCTTTTTTTCTGCTTCACATATTATACTGACTTAATTTTAACTCATTAAATCAGTTTAGAAATTCATTTATATTCACAGACAACAGTGTGTTTAGACAACAGCCTATCTTTTAGGTTTCCTATCAAAATCAGAATCCTGTGTTGTTTTTCAGTTCAGTTCATTTATTGGTCTCCTTAGAGAAATTTGTCTTGGAGCTAGGGGTCAGCATTTTAAGAACACAAATTGATTCATTTAAACCAAAGGATTATAAAATAATATTGTTTTCAGGCAGTAGTGTTTTGATCATAATCATCTATGTGTTTTAATATTAGTTGTTTCCAGCCACCTTTTCCCCAAAGTGAATGATGTTCTCAAACAGAGCTGTTCATATTTTACACACATTTTGCTCCACCTGCCACTGATGCACTTGTGTGTGGTGTCCAGGTCCAGAGATAGACCCGTTCTGGTACGTGGGGCGTGGGGTGAGACCCATCGGACGCTTTGGGAAGAGGCACAGCAGCGTGGAGGCTCTGGGCAGCGGCGGGATGCAGCCTACCCTCAGGACGTTAGAGCTGCTGCTCAACAGCCTCAGAAACAAGGAGAACCTTGGGAAGGTGCTGGATGGGGAAGACAGGGATTGGTTACCGTGACAGCGAGTCCTCCTCCCTTCATCTACAAACTCAGAGTGTCTTCATTTTTTATCTTGATTGAGGTTACATACTCTTTTGCTCTAGCTCTTAACTGTATTTCTCTCTGGTGTCTGTTATGAGGCCTTGGTTGATAGGATCCTTGATATCTGTAAATAAAAATGCATTCTATATTGATTAATAAACCAGGATGTTGTGATTATATACGTTCCTTACTTTGCTTGTAGCTTTACTGCATGTGTGAGTGCACAACAAACATTTTCTTTCAAAAGAAAAAGCTTTAAGTTTGCAAATTTTATTCATTTCGTAATACATTTTTGTCTCAGAGTACTGTGGCACATAGAGAATCTGTATTTTTTGCTTGTTAATATTTTCCCCAACATGTCACATGGATCGCAACAAACGATTGCACATAAAAGTGAATGGCCCGCCTGTGGAGCTGTGCACAGTGAACCTCATCGTAGTCATTCACACCGGATTTAAACAGGAACAAAAGTGAGATCTGTCTTTAGCTCTGTGTGAATCTAATCTCATTGGAGTATCTGGGACACAGTTACAGTAGTAATTAACTTCCTGTGCGAATCCAGCCCTACAAGTTATGACAATTATACACAGTCTCTTGCACACAACACTGAAAGATTGGTCAACTATGATTGGGCAATACACATATTATTCTATATCATATCCATCTTTTCACACATATACATATATTAATAAATTCTTTGATGAGATAATATTTTTTTTTACATTAGAAAAATACAGGACACTGATGATTGGACCCTTGTGGCTGTGCTTCTCATGGGAAATTTTACATCAATTTTGATAAAACCAGAAACATGCTTTAATACATCAACACCTCTGGAGAACAAGATTGACAAAAGTACAGGATCAATGTGCAAAACCCGAGATGTGAAAGGCTGGGATGAAAAGGTTACTAATAGAAGGGGCAGAGCATTCATTCAGAAGATCATCACACCTTTTAGTTCAAGCAGTCCATCAGGAAAAAAACAGCTCTGCTCTTGAGCTGTAGCCACAGCATAAACTCTGACAACCGTATGCATGGCTAACTGAGATTCTGAGTGGTGTAAGTAAAGAAAAATAACCCAAAAATGAAAGGCAGTATTCTCAGATCTAGTTTTTAAGGAGTACAAATACAGTATGAATCGTACTAGCCGCTCCAGCCACCCGTGTTTTAGTGACATTTACCACCGTCATTACCGGCAGAATATCAAATGGTAAATGCAGGCGTACACTGAAAGCACTTTGAGTCATCACACATGAGAGAGTCTGATAGGACTGACTGAGGAGGGCTCCTTTGAGGAGAGAATAAAGCCTTTAATTTGCAATAGTACTTGTTTCAGTGGTATTGCATAAAAACGTTCAGTAAGTACAAAAATAAATTACTCGTAACAAAATCATGGTTTCATGGCATCTGTAATATAGCCCGTCAGACTTCTTTATGTAAAAATCTTTACAAGATTTTCTGAATGCAACAGAAAAGTTCGGACATGACCCAGCGAAGTGGAAACATGAAAATACTTTTTTTTTGTTCAAATAAAAGGCCACGACGTTTGAACGTAAACGAAGAAATGACAGAGGAAGAAAATGACTTTGGGTTGAAGAATACTGCACGAGGGCTGCAACACCAAACCTGAATGTCGTACCTATGGAGACCTCTGCTGAGCTGAGTCTGTCTGACATTCAGACGCTATTCAAAATCTTATTTTCACTCATTTGAATGTCCACACAGCTTCCACGTTAAGGCTGTAGTGTGTGTGTGTGTGTATGCGAGTGTGTATGTGTACTGAGTAGTTATTTTCCTTTTCTGAATAAATGGGAGAGCACTTTCCCAGTAAATCTATACAGTTTACTTAAGGAATAGATGGACATTATGGGAAATATGTTTTTCCACTTTCTTGCTGAGAGTTAGATGATAAGTGATACCACTCTTGTGTCTATACGCTACATATGAAGCTACCGTCGTTAGCTTAGCTTAGCTTAAAGACCAAAATAAGGCGGAAAATTCAGGAGAAAAAGTCTGAATGTAAAAATATCTGCCTTTTGGTACAATTTAAACATAAAAAATGTGTTATGCTAATCAGTGATCTTAAGAGGTGCTGCTAGGCTAATATGTTTACCTTTTTTAACAGTCACGCTAGCTGTTCCCCGGTTTTAGTTCTTATGCTGAGCTAAGCTAACAAGCTACACACTTAGTCGAAGTCCTTTCCCTTCCAGTGGAAAAAAAAATATGCACTATAGTTAATGGCGAGCGACAAATACTTTTTTGATCCCATTTGAATTGTACCATTTGTCAATGAAAAGATCATTTTGAACTTTATTGTAAAACTGTTAGCTGAAAAGACAGAAAACAAAAAAAGAAAGACTACACAAGTTGCGTCTAGCTTGTTTTTTTGCTTCCCAGCTGATAAAAAGACCTGGGGTTCCTGGATAAAACGCATCAAGCAACTCAATGTTACATTTGTACTGTGGCAAGTCTTACATCGATGTGTAAACTCTAAAATGAAAGGATGTTTTGCTGCCTCTTGCAGCAGCTGTAGACTGAGAAAAAATAATTTAATTCACTGCCGCCAACTTTAAAGGTGGAACATTTACTTGTAATGTTAGTCAGTGTATCAGTTGACAACAAAATCCAACAGCACACCTTAAATTTCAATATGACAACTTTGACCATTCCCATTGTTTTTCTTGTCTCTCATGGATGACATACACTTCTAGTAATGAGTGGATCTTCAAGCATTTAAATCTATAAATTATTTTCGAACAGATTATGTGAACTGTGTATATTCTAATACTTACTTGGAGAAAAAAAACATTGTGGAGCGTTATTCCTTTGGGTTCTACTAAACCCCTACGCTTGCTTGAGAAGGACTAAATGCACTAACAAAGTGTGGACTTCCCTTTGTGACAGTGAGTGCTGGATGGAGCAGTGAGTGACAACGACCCCACCCACATTTAAGAGTACTGTTTGTAGTGGAAACACTAAGCGGCCCTAGGTACCATGTCAGAATGGTTACTTTTGGTTCCAAAGGTACCATACTAAAAGTGTTTGGTGGAAACAGGGCTTAAGACTGTAAAAAAAACTTAATTAGAAAGACTACACTAATTGGGTCTTGCTCATTGTTTCAACCAGGAAGACCAGGAATTGCTGAATTAAACACATCAGGTAAGTTAACGTTACATTTGAGTGTGGAACATAGGCAAGTTACCTGGCTAGCTAGCTGGTGTTTGTGACGTATTGTGTGAGACAACTAAGTGGTTTCATACAAAACTAAATGGTACTACAACAAATAATGACTTTCTTGACCTGCAAAATCGACAAACGTATGTGCAATTCATGGTACAATTCAAATTTTACAATATTTTTCCATTGCTATCGACTTCCATGCTTTTTTTTTTTTTTTTTTTCTAAATAAGCTCCCACTGGGGACACTGGAGGCAGAGGGACCTTGCCCCTCTATTGGAGTGGCATCGATCTTCTCCTGTAACTCCTATCAAAAAAGCAAATATTTCCCAGAACTACTCCTTTAACTTTTTTTGAGGCTGTTTACAAAGAATGACTGATTTCTCAAGTGTGCTTTGTGTTCCATTATTGCCATCTAGCAATTTTAGTAGCAGGAAGGGTGGACAAAATGTTTTGGCCCTGACACTTAGCGTACCTAAACAGTTATTTTCTGGTAAGTGCATGAATTCTGAAAATGGTTAAAATGTCGCAGGTGTTACAATCATTCCCCAAATGAGTTTTACCGTCTGAAAGCTGCGTGTGTGTGTGTGTGTGTGTGTGTGTGTGTGTGTGAAAATGGACAATCATCCAGAAAAGCTCTGAAGGGGCTTACAGTATGAGCTCACTTCCACATTTCATCTGGTGAGAAAGAAGATGCGGTATAAAACACGGCTCAGCCTCTTTTTGGGACACTGAATCACAGAAAGTTTCACATGATTTTTCCACGTCTTCATTGTACAGCAAATCACAATACTCTTGCAAACAGATAGAAAAAGGAAATGAGAGTTATTTTTTGTCTGTACAGATATTCTTTTTCAGTTGGGTCACGAGGAGTGTTTGCAGATTTTTAAGGCAGAGACACAGACTGTCGAGTCATCCTTGCTTGATGTTATGTGCGTAGTGAGGAGGAAGAGATGGAGGAGAAAGTGGAAAAAAGGAAAGAGCCGGTCATCCCCTCTGTGAGGCATCTGACTGACAGGGTACCGTGCCTGGCTGAGGGCTGAGTGCTTGGTGGGTCACACAGGGCGGGTGTTGGCCCCTGCTTGGCCTGGAGCTGGAGGCGGACACTGGGTAAAGGCACTGGATGAGACGGGCCCCCTGTCCCTGGGGCTCTGAAGTGGCCCTGAGGGACTCATTGTGCTGCTGACTGTCACTACGGCCGATACGCTCTCACCTGCTGCTCTGGCTCCAACTTTTCTGAAAAAGAAAAAATAACAAGAACAGAATAAGGGCATTAATCACAGTAGCATTTTAAAAAGAAATCCGCACTACAAAGCTTGGGCTATCCAGAAAAAGAAAAACTATTAATAACATATGATTCAGATGAACGCAGCTGACTTGTATCTAAATGTCAGAGTGGTCTTCCCAGCCATAAATTTAGAGCATGGACTGACAAAAAGGACATGCTTAGCTGGAATCAATGATATGATTACATGTCTTGGTCCCTGATTTCGCCCCATTGTCCCGCCTGCTCCCTGTCTTTGGAGCTGTGCTGAAAAAGCCACCCTGAATCAGAGCTATTGTGCGGCTGCTGCCGAAGAAAGAAAAGAGACAGAAATGAAAATAAAGACAGCCCCAACAGAAAGAGGCCATTCACTGATAATGAAAAGAAACCAACTTCTTGTTGGTTGATAAAACAGCCTTATCCTCCTGTACTGTGCGTGTTTCCATTTGGCTGCTTTACGTCTAATGGAGCTTTTCAGTGGCTTAGTCCCTTTCTGATGTATTCACTTTTACATCCATTCAGCTGCCAATCTTGTCTTTTAGGACAAAGCACAAAATGTGTGATGTTAACTAAAGGTGAATGAAAGTGTCTCGTCTCTGTCTCACCTCCCATCTCGAGCATCTGTCTTTGTCGCACACAGAGCGAGTGTACACAGGGCTGTCAAGCTGCATTTATGCTTAGAAGAGTTTGCACTGATGATGTACACTGTATAAGTCAGCACCAGTTAGCAAACTGACTTTACTTGTGACTTATAAGAAGGTCGTACAGAAGGTTGAAAAGGAGAAAGCTATATTGCAAGGACTCCTGTCCCGTCGTTGACAGACCTGGCCAGATGTGGATGGCTAGCTAGCGTGCTGTCGGCGAGAGCTGTTAGCGAAGTCATCTAGCAGAAGAGCTAGCAAAATCTTCCTGCGAAGATCTCTCATGTTGACTGTCACTGTACCAACTAAACTGAGACAAGTTGAGTAGTGTACTATTGAAACAGCTGATATATAGGCGCAAAATGGGCTATGGAAATGAGCGCAAAATTCGAAAATATAGATTAATTATCAACCGCATAGAAATCAACCTATGGTCAACAATCACTTTTAATAGTGGGAAAAAAAGGCTTATGCTTATTTTTGTTTTTGCATAAATAAATGACATATTGTTTGTGACCAACTGCAATTGCAATTTATTATACTTCCGGCACTGGAACGCTCTGTTTCTCCCATGTTGTCAACGCCCGAGTAGGAAAAATCTAATGCCTCCACGGTCCCATGGTCAACAGAACCGCTGCCGTGCTGCGCGCTAGTCCATTGCTATCCATCATTTTCACCTCCATTGGCATGAATGACTTCCTGTCAGCGTCAATCCGTCAATCCGTCAATATAATGAGTGATACTGAGTAAAATAAAAAACTTGTTTGGTACCTTTCAGTGGAGGGGCTGGAAGCTTCCTCCTTTGATGACGTGATGTGTCCAGGGTTTGAGGCTGCAATCAGAGTATTTGTATTGTACATTTCATACACATAAAAATTAACAAATTATCCTGACCTGCTGCCACAGTGTATGTTCTAATATTCACACTTGTTTGAGTTACCTCAGTAATAGAAAGTTAGAGTAGTTGTGTGCACATCCTCCACATACCAGCACTTTATGATAAAATCTTAGCATTCATAACCAGACAAAGTAGCCTACAAACTGTATGACTGAGAGTTGTCAGGGTATTCAGGGTGGCAGTGAGTTACCTTAGCCTTTGGCTTAAACTTGGAGAAATGATTGCAGACAGTCACATTCAACCCAGCTGTTTTCAGAGCTGATATCCTGGCCTCGATGTTTGAAATCTAAAAAGGAAACACAGAGTGTGTAAGATTTAGTGGCATCTAGTGGTGAGGATTGCAGATTGCAACTAGCTGAAACTTCTCCTGGTTAGATATTTTCTTCAGTTCTCACTGTTCAGGAGGTTTTTAGCATGAGTTAAATTATCTGCAGAGGTCTCTTCCTCTCCAAAACTAAGTGGATCAAAGGATTTAAACAAGTCAAAATAAAGCCGTTTCAAGTCTTATAAAAATTTTGCAAAGGTTTTCCGATTTTCCGGGGCTGCTAATGGTAGCCGTCATGAAACACAAACGGCCCTATCTAAAGCGGGTGTTTGGTTTGTCCATCCATTCTGGGCTACTGTTGAAACATGGCGGTGTAACATGGCAGACTCCATGGATGAGGACCTGCTCCCTATGTAGATATAAACAGCTCATTCTAGGGTAATGAAAACACTATTCTTATTTTCAGGTCATAATACACACTCATTATACTACATTACATGCCTGCCAATACACCCCCTTTATACTACACACTGGACATTTAAAAGCAAAATCCAATAAAACATTCCAAAAGAAACAACAATAAACAATTAATGGTATCACTGAGTTGGGATTAAAGTCTAAGATTTGGGGGCTGTGTGGCATAAACACAACTGCAGAACATGATAGCTGTGGGAAAAAAGGGACAAGTCCACCAGTACCTGTAGTTCAGACTGCTGAACCTGAGCAGCTGCAGTGGCCACTTGGTCCTCCAGGAAGGCAAGCTCTGTGTCTGTGGTGCCACTTCGAATACTGCGGGCACACCGCTCCAGGTCCCCCAGCGCCCCCTCAAGCCCATACACAGCACCAGCAGCCAAGTAAACCTGCACACAGAGGAAGAAACATTTAGTTCCCACTAAACAAGACTGAATCTCCATAACCTTTTCTTATTGGGTGGAAGTACACAAAGTGGTGATTGCCCTTTAGCTTACATTCTCTTCCATCTTGGTCAGCCTCTGGTCCAGCCTGCGCGTCTCAGAGCTGCTGGAGATGGGAGAAGCACTCATGGACTCAGTTGGGGTGTAGGTCTCACCTCCCGCCTCACCAATCAGCTCCTCTGTAGCGTTCAAAACCTTCAGCACCTCTGTGGTGATGCTGCAGAGCGAGGCCGCTGAATACTTCTGCTTCATTTGATGAACACACACACACAGTACAGCAGTCAGTGATCTAGTTAGTAGGTTAGCAGCCACAAAAATTAGGTTCAGTGATGAGCTGAATACCCCAAAATGACCATTTGTATATCAATTTTTCACCCGTATTACACTTAACTTGTAATTTAACATTTCTTGCATTCCTCCATGGTTAGCAAAGGCTCCAAAAACATGCATTTTCACCAAAACTGTAATATTCAAAACACATTTTGCATAAACATTCTCACTGTCGAGAAGTGCCCCTGAGCTGTTTGGCTGGATAAATGAAGCAGGATTTTTACTTGTGCGTCAGCTCTATGCAGACCCTATGCCATAGCCTACACATGTGGCCTATGCTCTTGTGAGCATTTATACTTGTGCAGTGGTGTCTCTGTGTTTCTCTGCAGTTACACCTCTAAAACACTAGTTGGCGGTGGGGTCTCTGTGAAATGCTGTAAAGTTTAGTTGATTAAAAAAAATCCACACACATTAAACACACATTAAACATGGCTTAATAGAGACAATTTCAAACACAAGTACACAAATCAGCTTCACTATAACTCGCAGCATTCACAGACAAACACTTGTCTTTATCTGGACACATTTCCCCCACAAATACAACATGCTAATGTTTTTAGCACAAGCCTATGGCATTTTACATTGTATAAATTAGCCTAGCGGCTAGCAGACTTTTTTTCTGTTCAAATGAAGCCAGGAACAACAGCAACATTTAACAAAGGTAATGTTACACAATTTGGCTCCATTACAACTCACAAGGTTCACTGACAAAAAACTGTCTTATACTAGACAGTCCTCTACATCGACACAGAGCCTATGCTTGAGACTTGGATTATACTGCAAAAGTTGTGTGAGAGTTTGTAAATGAATGTTTTAATATAGTTTTGCTGTTGTTAAATGCAGCCCCTTTTTACTTCAATTCATCAAAAAATGTCCTCAATTTTGGAGGCATTAAAGGAAAACAAAGTTCTCTTTCTGAGTTCGTAGTAACACAGGGTAAGTAACTGATCTACAAATGATAATTTGGGGAGTGAGGTGCTACTTTAAGAGATACTGGGAGTAAGACAACTTGACGCATCAGTAGAGAAAACTGGGCCACCTTTATATAAAATCTGAGAAATCACACTGGGGAAAAGACAATGAAAAAATATGTTTTATTTAGGAGGCATGGGAGTGTAGCAAAATGTGATAATGCAGTCACAGTTGGGGAACATTTTAAATAATTAGGGAAAAACATGTTAAAATCACACTTTGAAAATAAAGGGGAGCAAATAAAATCATTGTGGCTTAACCTAAAAGGATTATTTTTATCAGCACCTCTACCCCATGTGCTCAAGCTGACGGTTCTGTAAAAGACCATTGTGCAGGTGACACATAAACACACATTCGTCACTCCTCTTTCTGTTACCTATTTAGTCGTTTTGTGCACATGCACGTCCGCTCATGCTTATAGTCAGATGGTGCAGAACAAATAGGTGAAAGTGATAAATGCAGTAGTGAAGACAGAGATGGAGGAAAGGAAGCTAAGAAGGGTTCAAGAAAAGCCAGAGTGATTGATCCACACATGTAAACTCTGTGCAGAGTTTGCATGTTCTCTCTGTGTCAGTGTGGGTTTTCTCCAGGTACTCCAGCTTCCTCCCACAGTCCAAAGACATGCAGGTTAATTGTTGACTCTAAATTGACCTTAGATGTGAATGTGAGTGTGTATGGTTGTTTGTCTCTATGTGTCAGCCCTTTGATAGTCTGGTGACCTGTCCAGGGTGTACCCTGCCTCTTGCCCAATGTCAGCTGGGATAGGCTTCAGCCCCCCCACCACTTAATGGGATAAGCGGTTAAGGAAAATGAATGAATACTGCAGTGAAAAAAAGTAGCAGTTATGGTGTTTGGGTGTGTAGCTGAGCTGATCAGCTATCAAATGTTAAATTAAAGCTCAGTTCCACGATTGTACGTCCATTGCAAGCAATACCCCCAAAATGTAAATGAACATGCTGCTGAAAAATCATCTGTTTTGGCTTTTCTGTTTAAAATTAGGTACAATTTGTACACAAGCTTCAAAAAAGCAACCAAAAAAAGTCTTGTTAAATGTCATAGGCTCAGTTAATTAATTTTGGAATGGACGCACAAATCAGTTGGCAAAGATCTCTCACTGCAGAATTTAGATGCGTTCGACAGACAAATGAAAAAACATGTTTAGTCATTGTGTGTACTGCCAGTCAGTGTCAACTGGAACAGCTTGTTCATCCAAATGCAAGCTAGTTTCAAAATGAAGTCTGCCTGTGACAAATGATAATTCAATGGTGAAGCGGCCCAGTAGAGAAAGCTGCCATTTTCTTTCTGAATGGATGAAAACACTAAGCGTGAAAAGGACAGGGCAGTGAAGAGAGACATATGTAATTCAATAATGAATGAATCACTGGCTGACACTTTGATCAGTGGGATCGGAGGCGAATCGATCCCCCTCTCAGCCAGGCAGACAGTGTGACAGTCTGAAAGGAAGAGTTTCAGGTGGTGACAGCAGAGACAGGTAGGGACAGGAGACAATAAGTCACAGTGTTGGGTGAGAGATGAGAGGCAGCAAACCAAACCATCATTCAGTGATCTTAAAAGAGACTGAGAAGCAGAGATGGACGGTCTTAAGTATTGACTCAGGTTGGTCGATGACGAAATGGATGTTTGATGAGAGTCTGATGTTCTCGTCCTCTCCAAAGAACCAAGATATCACCATGCAGATCAAACAGTCTGAAACACATGCTTGTCACACTGATATTGATGCTGAAAGGTTAACTTTGCACATATAAAAAAAATTGTTTTTGATTCATATCAACTTTGAAATATAATGGAAGTAAATAAAGTTTGAGTCACTGGCATATAAGTTCTGTAGTTTGGTTAACACAGTTAATAGTTAATAGCAGGGGTGGGCTAAGAAACTTTTAAACCGTAGACCGAACTGGGGCACAGATTTAAAGAAGGGGGCACCAAATTGTCTCTTTCTGGTCATTCTGCATCTTTTTCTTCTCTTCATTACTGTTTTACATCTTGTTGTCCATGTCTTAGTGGTTATTTTGTGTCTTTCTGTAGGTGTCACTCATACAACAGCAGTGGACTGCATCTGCAAAGGTGTCTGAGTGAGTGTGCATAAAGGCCAAAACACACCGGCGGCAAACATAGCACATCAAAATATACTCCCCAAAGTATAACCCCACACCTGCAGCAGCTAGACGCACATTGGCGCTCCTGGATGTGCCACCGCACGGAACTGCTGTTGCTGTGTCTCATGTGTGACAAAGAATGGATGATGAGAGACTCATTGAGGTCGAGAAATATCCCAAGCTAAATGACCCACAGTCCCGTCATTACAAAGGCAGTGACCAAAATGATATTGCCTGCTGGGTCATAGCTCTGGAGATTGGCTCTTCAGGTGAGAAATCAAGTTTAATCAGGGGCCATCCACATGTGATTTTAAGCAAACGTAGAGGTGGAAGAGGTACAGATCTTTCAGTAAAAGTAGTAATAACTTTGCATTGCAGCCAACAGACAACCCCACAAAGTTATTACTACTTTCAGTAAAAGTAGTAATAACTTTGTGGGGTTGTCTGTTGGCTGCAATGCGACCTGTGCAGTGTGTGCCAGTGTGTTTTCAGCTTCAGGGAGCTGTTTCGTGAATGTGAGGGTGTACGTCTCTCTGTGTGAAAGAGCGTGAGAACTACATTACTTTTCTGTTAGGAGAAAATGGAAAAGAGGAAAGTGCATGTCTTTGGGGGGGATTTCTTTTCTTTCTTTTATTCTTTTTCTTCGTTTTCCAACTGCTGCTGTCAATGACTGATGTGTAATTTAAAGAAATCTAAGTGCATTTAGCTCCTGAAAGGGGCAGGCTTAGAAACTACCTGGTGTAAATTTGATGTAAATATAAAATGCAGACTTAAAAAACATCACAGTTGTTGTCACATTTTCCCTTATTCACATCAAACTGAGCCACCCTGGCTGATTTCAAAGGATGCTGTAAAAACCAACAGAAATAGATCACAGGAGAACATGTGTCACACTCATTGTAAAAGCAAAGCATTACTCAGAGGAGCCCTTATAATGAGTCTGGCTAATGAGCAACATCGACCCACGTGCCTCAGATGTAACACTAATACATGAGGTGAGCACGTAAGTGCCTATCCAAGTGTGTGTGTGTGTGTGTGTGTATGTTACATGTTTATGGACCTAGTAGGCTGTGTTGCCTTTATTATGAAACCCAAAATAGCTCTATTTACAGTAAAGGTTGCTGACCCCAGTCCAGAATGTCACTGTCACAGAGAAAAACTTATTTGCTTCCTTTGTGCAGTTTATTGCTGGACAATAGTGTACATCTACAGCACACTCACGCTAACTCAAATAGATTTAGTATGCATACTGACACATTTGTGTATAGTTTAAAGTTAATTTAGTCATGTTTTTGGTACACACCCCATTCCCAAAACATGCTTACAGTTGGTGATACAACAGGAAACAAATATGTCTATTATTTAAATGACGACAGTGCACCAGCATTTTGCACATAAGCTGTTGAATTTGATTTTGAGAGCTGCACAATTTCATAGGGGTAGGGGTAGCCTGGTTCCAGACCATAGACCCCGCCCACTCAACTGAGTAGGCTTGCTTCTCTGGTCTGGCATACTGCAATGAATTTGCGATTTATCTCGTCCAAACGATGGACGGGCCAATGAACGCCGGGGGTGGGGGCGGGTCTAGCGATTAGCCAATCAGCGCTACTCTGATGTCAAGTTGTTTGCCGGTGGGTAATTGGTTAGGATAGCAATAATGGTTACTGCTACAGATCCTACAGACCACATTAACGATGCTATCGAGGTATTTCGCCACTACTCACGTTAATGGAGGACCAAATAAAGGAAGCTGCTAAACTGGATTTAATGGCAATGCAGCTGGGCGTGCATGATGACTGAGATATTTTTAAACGGGCAATGCTCGCTTGTTTTCGGCACCCCCGAGGCATGGATACTAATGACGTCAGATTCTGGGTGAGTCGTTGATCTCTACTGATTGGTTAGGGAAAAATCAAATTCCCTCCCCCTTGTAAATCGCCTTCATTGGAGGCAATGTCAGACTGAAGGTTCTGGGAGCTTCACTCTGACACTCAGGCTAGGGTAGGGGGGCTTAAAGAGACAGGCGCTAAAACTGAGCAGACAGAGGGTGAATACAGGTATATTCAAGCGGACAGTATGAGGAATCTTAGAACAGTGTTTTTTGAACATTAAAGCAAGCAAACATGTTCTAGTATAAATCCACAATACAAGTATGAACCTGAAAATGAGCATAAAACAGGACCTTCAAGGGACATGTTTATATGTTAATGGATGTAATATTCATTTACTCCTCGATGCATTTCAGAGGAAATTTGTGTTTGTAATTCTCTGTATCGACTTTATCTCAAGCTGCCTTTGTCTGCTTCAGCTGGATGAAGAAAGTGAAAGCTATAGCAACAACACAGAGGCAGTTTTTCTAGTCAACTAAAAAACAAGTGGCTTCTCACACAGAACACAACTGGGCCTGTGGCTGTGTTGCATTCTGACCTTTCGAGGCTTTTATTAATGAAATAAGTATATTTGCAGCTGCTGTGATGGAGGTATCTCCGTATGATTCTTGAAAACTGCTGCAAAGCAGGAAATTTAGACAGAGGACCTTGCTGTTTTATTTTCAGGGACTATCAGCTAAAATGTTACAACCTTATGTTCAGACAGCTGCAACATTTTCTGCTACTACACTCTACTTCAGCTTCATTACTTGCAGAAATAAGAGAAACTTCACCATGAGCAAAAGTGTCATTCAACTTAATCACAATTTTGTGTGTGTGTGATTACTTGTACTTGCTACAACATGTGGACCACAGCAAGTTTTTAACCGACATAGTGAGGACACTTTGGGAAAGTGAGGACATTTTGGCTGGTCCTCACTTCTTTAAAGCCCTTTTGAAGGTTAAGACTTTATTTTAAGGGTTAGGTCAGAATTAAGGTTAGGGAGGGGGTTAGGGTTGATAGTTTAGGTTGGGGCTATAGACAGCATTATGGTAATGAGAACAGTACAGTCTAATACAGGAATGTCTGTGTGTGTGTGTGTGTGTGTGTGTGTATGTGTGTGTGGTAAGATGAAGGCTTAATTAGAGTTGTATGTCCTCAAGCATGGCATCCTGCTCAGGACATTACAAGATTCCTTTTTCTTTCCAACCAATATGTCTCACCTGCTGTAAGAGAGAGGAGAGCAACTGAAGCCTCTGCTGTTGCTCGAAGTCATTCTGTCCCTCCTGACAAACACACACACATACACAAAGACACACACAGACATAAATACATCCACAAAGACACACACAACCAGACAAAAGAAGAAGGGAAGCACAGAGAAACAGAGAAAGAGGGAAGACACAGGATGAGGGACACAGAAGGGCAGCAGCGATTGTTACATCAATACATGGGTAAGACAGAAAGGTGGGAGATGAAGAATTATCAAGGATAAAATGGAAAAGAAAGAAAAATAAATTCAGCAAAAGGCAGACAGACAGTACTTGCCAAGCAGGGCAGCGACAGAAGCACAAGATGAGCGGTAAATATTCATCAAATCAACTGAGTCTCCTTACCTGGTTGTCCGACAGCACCCCCTCCTGGGAAGAAGGTGTAACAGCAGGTGAGCTTGCGCTGGATCCACTCCTCCTTGCTCCTCCTCTTTGTCCTGCTTCCTTCTCCACATCTCTTTTATGTTGTCTCTTACTTTGTCTGTTGGGCTCTCTCTTATCTCCTCTCTTTTCCTCGTGGTCGCCTGCCTCCAAACATTCCACTCCTATCTCTAACCTCCTCTCCCGAGCTCTTCCTTCCTCTCTCACTGAATGACTCTTTATCAGTCTCTCACTCCTCTTCACCTCTTGTCCGTTGACTTGTTCCACTATTTCACTTGCTTTCTCTCTTTCCTTACTGCTGGCCCTGTCTCTTAATCTGTCACTTCCCCTCTGCCTTTCTCTTTCAGTGTCTTTTGGCCTCGTCTTCTCTCTCTGTCTGTCACTTTCTTTATCTGTCTGTTTGTCCGCGGGCCGCTTTGTGCACTCCTCCTCAGATGAGCTGCTGTCTTTGCTGTTGGCACGACTGACCAGCTGGCTGAGTCTGGAACGTAGCTCCTCTTCCAGAGGGTCTCCAGGCCCCGTGCTGCTCAGCGGGTGCTGGGACCCTGGAGGCAGAGAGTGGGGCTGTGGGGGGCTGGGGGCTGCTGAATTCGGGGCCACTGTGTCCAAGTCCTCTGGCTCGGGTGTCATGGCATCTAATTTGAAGGTGTCTGGTGCAGCTGTGGCCACTGACATAGTGTCAGGTACTGACTGTTCCTCACTTAGACCTCTCTTGAGAAGGGCATTGAGTAGAAAACCACTATTCTCCTTAAATGGAGAGAGAAAGGAGCATTAAATTCATCCTCAGAAAGAAAAATAAAAATAAAAAAAAGCCTCAGAAAAACTCAGAATTACAGAAGGGATTAGGGAGCCTACACTGCATTATGAAACACCTCTGCCTCCCAACAGGGAAACAACATGTTACATCATATTTCTCACTGGCACCATTAGAATTTCAAGTCATTTAATTTTAACAATCAACCAACAAACAGTAGCTACTAAGAGCAGTATAACTGCAGCAGTGATATGTCACCTGTGCTAATGGGTAGATTGACTGTGTCTGGCTCTGGCCTCCAGGTTTGCTCTGCTCAGTTGATGACTCTCTCTTGCTTTTCCTGCGTCGCCGTGATCTTCTGACCGGGTCACTCTGCCGCTCCTCGGCCTCGCTGCTGTCTCCCATCACCTGGGAGCAGATATCACATTTGTACTTGAATATCTCCATCTAATGCTTCTGCACGTTTCTACATGTCAACGGGAAATATACTTATAACTTTTTACTTTTAACTTAACTAGTGATGTTCGCCAGGCATGTGTGCATTTGACTATGTGCGCATGTGCATCCATCTGTCCGCAGCTAATCTCAAATATTACTAGACCAAGCAGCCTAACATTTTGTGTGTACTGTATGCTCATGGACCTCTCATGGTTGTGGTGATTCACAGTTGTTGAAAAACCTGTTTAATACCATCACTGACTGCTGACTCCTCACTCCTAACTGTCCAGTAGGGGCTGCAAGTTTTCCAGAAATCATCTTGGCTAAAAACAAAAAGCCTTACTTTCTGTTTCAGGTCACATTTTGGTCTTTGCCGTGGCTCAAAACTGACATCCATAGAAAAGTTTGGTCTCATTTTGAATTCAGAGCATCTGCAGATTAATTCCTTTCTTGATTGGTTATGATCTACTAAAATTGGGCATAATACAAGATTATCAAATTCCCATATCTTTTATCTTCACCACCATCTTGGGAACAAGTAGTAGGATGTCTGCTCAATTTTGTAGACTTGCAAATTTAGTTGATTTAATCATTTTTCCTTAATATTTGTGCATCTACCCTTAGTAAGCATGCTATGTAGTTAAATGGTTTATTTTTTGTTGTTGTAATTGAGTTATTTAATCGTTGTTATTTCCTTCTTTGTTGTGCCGTGGCCTGTAGACAAAGTTAATATTCTTAAAAGTCTAGCTATAAATGACAAAGATCAAAGATTTCAGGCTGAGTTTTAGTTAAGCTTTTGAAACCTGGAGCGACATCACTTTTCTTGTGCTGCTTTCAGACGCGTTTCTCAAGTATTTAAACCTTTGAACCACTTTTGCAATTGGTGTGATTTCTCTCAAAACATGGGAAAACAGGCAATGAGCAACTTGGTAAGAATGTCCCACAAACTTTTCGTAGCTCACTGCCTTCTTCCCATGTTTTTACAAGAAATGAAGCCAATTTCCTCAGGTTTCAAAGGGTAAACAAAAATACATTCGTTCTCAGGATGACATTGCACTTCACATACAGTGTTGGTTAGCAGGAGATATCGATCTGCTCAGTGCAACATGCTGTGGCTCTATCCAAAACAGATGAGGCGTGTATCTTTTATTAGTTTCTGGGATGCCTCTGCTGCTGGGCGTCTGTGTGAATAAATGCTACAACAATTGGCTAGAGTGGCCATGGTCAGCCTAAGAACCGCCTGGCAGAAATCTGCTGTCTACTGAGTGCACTCCTCTAGTTTTCATTTTACATAAAAAGTATGATGATCTTATTTGCACCCATTTTGACTTGTAATCCCTTTTAAACAAGCAGTGTCTTGTCATGTTTCAGATGTCTATGTCTCACAGTTCCACAAAAAATTCAAAGATTTCTCAGATGATTTCATTGGAGTAACTGTTCCAGACACAAAGAAGTCGAAGTATCCATTATTTCACAAAAACAGCAAAGATTAGAGAAAAGTCCCCAAAAAATTAAACCGATTTCTGGAGCAGAACTTTCCTTTTTCTTCTTTTCTTTCCAGTTAATCATCTAATGACCCTGCAGATTTATTTGGTGACCATTTGTAGGAGCCTGCCCCAAAGTTGGGAACCATGGGACTAAACTAGCCTAATATATAGAAGTTAAAAGCTCCACCTAAACCAGTTGTAAATGCTGCTTATACATTGCTGCATTGCTGCAAGAGAAAAGAAATACTGGTAAAAAACACTTCGGAGCATTTAAAAGAAGAGGTTGGAACAATAATTTCAAATCATGTCATACATGATAATATAAAGCACTCAAAGGGCCAAATTTCTGCAGAAAGAGTACTTTCACTGTGATACTTTAGGTATATATTGCTCCACAGTAGGATTTTTCTGTAGTACAGATTAACCCAAAGTTTGACATTTAAGACTCACCTTAGGGTTAAAGTTGACATCCAGTGCCTCTGAGTGGAGTGGATACGGAGAGAAGTTCTGGTGGATGTGTTGGTGATAGAGCGGCTGGTGATGAGGGTGCAGGTGTGTGTCCGGTGGTCCTTTCTTCCTCATCAGATTGTGAGGCGGTTTGCGAGGACAGGCGGACAGCACTGATGAGGCCTCTGAGTCTGAGTTGAGAGTCTCTGTGTTGGTGTACTGGCCAGAGGACGGTGAGGTAATGGGAAGGTGCTGCGTGTACGTCCATTCTGGGTCATGCTGCGAGTCTGTGTAGTACGTCTCATCAGAAAGTTTGCGCCGGAACTGTCTCAATGCAGCACCCCAGCCGCCTTCGTCATTGTCCTCGGAGTCAGATCCCATCTCGTCGTATGCTGAGACAACGCCGGACTCCTTTTCTAACACGCTGAACACCAGGCTCTTCCTCTTGGTTAGCAGGCTGGGCCGAGACAGCTGTGAGCTGTGAAGAGCAATCCAGTTACCGTCTGGGCTCTGGAGCACTGAGGATGCACCTGGAGGAACATGAACAGACAGAAAGAAGAAAGTTAAGAGCTGAATGCCATCTAGTTCCACTATATTCAAAAGAAGGCAGATATCTCTACGGCCGATATCTCCGACACTCAGCAACTAACAGTCTAGACTGATGAAAAGCACTGCAGGAGAGAGGAAAAATACGTAATTTTGATTTTGGGATGAACTGTCCACAAACTGGTGCATAAATATTCAACAGATTGCAGGAAATTAAGTGTTTGATGCTCAAAATGTTCTTGCGGAGGACACCCAAAGCCCCTGTTTCATGTGTCCCTGCCAATATTAAAAAGAAACCTATGCCTTTCTAGACAGTAACCAACATTTAAGAAGTTTTAATGGACTTTTTTAGTTTCTACCAGTGTAAAAACTTTGGAAATCAGTGGAGCCTACTGAATTCAAACAACCACAGCCACTATTCTCCTTCAATTTGAAAACTACTTTTTATTTTCACCTTTTGGGCCATCTAGGTTATTTTTGGGTAGCTCTTGTTTAAAGTAAAACCTAATAAGGCTAGTACGACTTTAATTAATTGTAGTGAAGCAGTAAATAACACTAATTTGGATTTACATTATCTTAAAAAAAGAAAGATATACAACTGAATCATCGTACCCCTCATGGTGCCAGAAGATGATCCTATACCAGCAAATACAATACACATTGCATCTGCATCTGAGATCAGGAGGACTCAAAGGAAAACCCTTTAGCCGACTGACATTAAACAGAGTCTGTGAGTGTGATATTTACTGGAGTTGTCCAGGCGGTCGACACTCTTCCAGCTGGGCAAAGACGTGGCCTTTCCCTCTCTCTTCAGAGAAGCGTAGTCCTGCAAGCCGCCGCCCGCCCCGGCACCCTCCTCCTCTGGACCCTTCTCCGGGGAGTCGTCACTGGTGAGGGAGAATGCTGACCGCGACCGCTGCAAGCACACACATGAGAACACATACAGGTTTGAGACACACAACTGTGGTTTGTGAGCAAAAAATTGCTGTCGTGAATACAACAAAAACAAAATGTAGACTGACAGAAGAGCATGCACTTCTGCTGATATAAACTCCACAGTGAAAGCCAGAGGTCAGACATCATTGTCTTTCTCAAAGAAACTTTAGAAAGAATGATGTTTGACAGCCTCGGAAATTTAAGTTGCACATCATCCTTTTTTAATTTGGGGCCATTGGGACAGACATCCAGTCAAAGCAGCTCCAGACAGGTTATTACTGCTTGGACAGAGACTGCAGCACAGTGGCCAGGAACAGTCACATATAATATCCACATTATAGTAATTACATAATATAAAGGAGAGCACTTGGTCCAGCTGGCTCGTCTACTTCCTGTCTGGGCAGAAAGCTGAACAACTGTGGCTGTGAGTCAACAATCTCATCAGCAGGTGGAGCTAGAAAACAACTGAAAACAAGGCAGGTTTTGAGTCTCTTTTCATGTATAGTGTGTGTGAGAGGGAGATCTCGAGCAACAGCCTTTGCTTATGATCATTAAAAGTCTCTATAATGAAAGAAACATGTCATTTCATTACAAAGCAGTAAAGATATTTTGCCAGTCCTCTAATTGTAGGTTTAGGATGAAGTTTTCTGGTTAGAAACAGGAATGTTTAATCCTGTTTAACTTTGTCACTGGGATGTAGATTTACAGGCTGCTTCACTGAGAATAAAGGAGCAACATGAAAGTTCCAGGTGCACAAATTCACCACAGTCCTACTGTTGAACATTCAATCTGGATCTTGGTTTAACATTCGAGTGAACGTACTGTAGGTGCTTGTATGTTCAAGAATTGCCTGAAGTGTTTAGTAGGGTGCAGAAGAATTAGAGAAAACACATCAGTTCTTACCATGGGTTGGATGCACCATTAAGATTACTCCAAGGATCAGCGTTAAGGCAGCTGAGATTTTAGTGTGCATTTGCATGTATACTCTCTTAGTGAGTGTTTGCAGAGAGCTGATAAACAGAGCCCATCCCACAGCGGGCCGAGCAGTTGAGGAGGATCCCTTCGTATTTCACAGGACTTTGATCTTCGCTGAGTGAAACAGCGGGAAACAGAACGGCGAGGCCAGGGGAGCGTAGCTTTGATGCTTCGCTCACACACGGGACGATGACAAATCTCCACGAGTCCCTGCTGACTAGCAGCGCTAAGCGCTGCCAGGTGTGTATGCATTGTCGATTTGTGTGTATGTGCTCCTGTGTGTGTTTTATATCTCTATGTGTCCATGTAAACTGGGTGTTCTCACCATATTGTAGGTTCTTTTCTCAAACCTAGAACAGGTAAACTGTCTTCTTTGGATTTTCTTCCAGTCCTGATGTATCAATCAGAACTGGATAACACTTGGTTCAAATCACATTTGCAATATTTCTTATGCTTTGCTTTTGCCTACTTAAGGGGAAAATCCACAATAACACACTTCAAACAGTGGAAAAAGAGCTATTAGCCGTGCACCTAGGGGTCTATTTTGTTGCTTAGCGGTCTGTTTTCCCCTAATCTCAAGGAAACTGGTGAAACATACAGTGGATGAAACTCCAAACGCAGGGCTGGGTATTGTTCAAAAAATGATGATACCATTGCCAATACCAGTAATTAGTAAGTGACTGACTGCAAGCAAAACCACACAAATAGTCTGTTTTTTTCTAGATCTGGGTAAAAAAAAAGGATCAAATGCAGCTATCCTTTGACTGGAGAATTGTCTATACTACTTGGTACTGGCTTATTTAGTCAATACCTTTAAAGCTACAGTTGGTAACTTTTATAAAAATAACTTTGTCATATTTGTCATAGTCTGGGCAAAAAAAAAATCATGTCCCTCCTCCTCTTCCTACTGCTTCTAATGGTGTTCACTAAAATCGACTGTGGCATACCAAAAACCACCAATCAGAGACAAGGAGTCTCTGATGCAGCTGTTAATCACATTGATGAACTGCAGTCGAACTGTCAAACTAGGCAGCAATTCAAATATGAATCAAGATTCTGTAACTGCTTCGCCTATTTCTCACCTCAAATGTTTTCAGAAATATATTTTAGTGTACTGTTTAGCTGTCCGCGACGCCAGGGATCAGCATGCTCGGGGCCCCACCCCTGCCTGCCACCCAGCACACAATGCACCAAATCCTGAATCCTGTCCCTGCAGGTGGTGGGCCCACAGGGTGACAGCTCCATGTTATCTATTCGGGCCGAGCCCAACCGGACCCCATGGCCCAAGGCCCGGCCACCAGATGCTCGCTGGCGAGCTCCCCCTCGGGTCTGGCTACACTGTCCAAACACTATGTTTCATCAAGGTCTTCTTGAATCGCTCTAAGTCTGGCCACTCCACTGGGACCACCAGGGGCTATAAGGGCCAATAGCTATCAGCTATGAGCTCTGGTTAGTGACCGGAAGAATGGGATCGTGGATAAAAGCGGCTGAAATGAGTTTCCTCCGTGGGGTGGCTGGGCTCAGCCTTAGAGATAGGGTAAGGAGCTCCAGAGAGAGCTCGGAGTAGAGCCGCTGCTCCTTCGTATCAAAAGTGGTCAGTTGAGGTGGTTCGGGCATCGGATCAGGATGTGTCCTGGGCACCTCCTGTTAGAGGTGTCCCGGGCACGTCCCACTGGTAGGAGGCCCTGGGGCAGACCCAGAACATGCTGGAGAGACTACATATCTCATCTGGCCTGGGAACACCTCAGGGTCCCCCAGCAGGAGCTGGAAAGCTTTGCTTGGGAGAGGGACGTCTGGGGTGCTTTGCTCGGCCTGCTGCCCCCGCGACCCGGCCCTGGATAAGCTGGCGAAAATGGATGGATGTTTAGCTGTAAAATAAGAAAGTTGGTGACCCCAAAATTCTACCAATGTATCAAGCACTGGCCACCAGACAGACCGACGTGCTCATTTTACAGCTAAACAGTACACTTAAGTATGTTTCTGAAAACATTTGAGGTGAGAAATAGGCAATGCAGTGAGGATTTTTGATTCACGTATGATCAGCGCTGCCTAGTTTGAGAGTTTGACCGCAGTTCAAGACTCCTCAGCTCAGGTTGTTTGTGTTAATATGTAGTAAGGCCATTAGAAGCACTACAAGATGATAGAGTGGGTTGAGGAGTATGACTGTTTTCACAGATTATCTGTCTCATTCAGTGCTGTGTTTCACCAAATGTTAGAAAGTTTATTTCTTTAAATAAAAGTTACCAACTACAGCTTTATTCAGAGAGATTTTGGTACTGCTTGGCACTGGGTAATTTCAATAATACCTTAAAAGTATTGAGTACAGATACCCAGCCTTAGCCAAGTCAGAACAATCCTCTGAGATTAGCTGCTCTAGTGTTTATACAATTTTAGTTTCCAGAACAGCATCAAAACACACATCATGGTGAATTTTAGAGAAAGCCTTAATCCTGTGAACTTTATATAAGGATTAAGAAAACAAAATTTAAAGGGAGTCAGCTCCAACCGCTGGCTTTCAATACAATAGCTACAAGATCCACAGAGGACTTCAGGAAAAAGAAAGAGACCAAAATACAATGCTTCGTCACCACACATGAGAGTGGTGCTATTGAAATGTTACAGTAATTTTCTGCCAAACACAGCATTCCTGTTTTTTAAAACCTGGCAAACACACAGAGACGGCGGCTGGTCCACCCAGAGGAACACATACCAAAACACAGACAGAGGAACATTATAGTGTACGTGCTGTGAAATGAAGTGAGAAAAACAAACCACCCTTCTTTAAACGCATGCTTCTGGCCAAGACTCAGCAGTTTGCACCCGCCAACAGGACAGCTTTGTTTTGACTTCGCCGGATATGGCTGGCATTTGTTGTTTTTTTATTAGAGCCTCTTGCGGAGGCAGAGACTGACCCAGAGAGAGTAGGAGGTCTTGAGGGGGTCCTGTGGTCCTTGTGAAGAGGCTTGAGGCTGAGTGGGAGAGGGGAGTTCACTGGGCTGGATCAGGGACTGAGGTTGAGGCCAGACAAAGTCATACTCTGTTTGCATCTCTGAACGCTTCCTCCTCTGAATGATCTGAAGGAGGGCAAGGAGAGTAAAGGAAGACAAATTGAGAGAGCTGCGAGGTAAGCAGACACATTCAAAGCTTTATTTAAATAATAAAATACAATAATAATAATAATTGCAAATTGGAAAAAAAAATGCAATCCCATAACAGCGTTTTATGTTTACACTCTGGTATGAATAATTTGCTGTAATGAAACTTTAAAAGCAATAATCCAGCTTCCATTTAAATTTTTATGTAATATTATGCACCGACATTCTCACAAAGCGGAGACAAAAAATAGCTTTTTTTATTTCACCTTCAAAGACTTGATGGCCAACAAATGTTAATTGAAACTGGAAAGCAATCAAACAACTGCAAACTCTGTCTCCACTAACTGTGTGTGTACGAATTACAAGATGCAATTAAAATCAAAGTGGTTGTCATTTGAATTTTAATCCAAACTAAGATATCATTTTTCAGAGAGTCTCTGCCCTCTTCTCACACAGCTCTGTGATCCCAATTTCAGAAGGAGAAAAGAGCGTTAACTTCCTGTGTTCCCGTGCCATCTCTCTACCAAAATGTAACATCAGTGGAAATGCTTTTATTTAACATCATAATGGTCGACTGATCTGTCAGTCAAACCTTGCTGGGTGTATTACAGTTTCATTTTTTAGTGTGCATTTGCATTTGAATGAGGTTAACTACACTGAACACTTTCACATATAAAGGGAAAATAAATACCCAAGAATAAAAGCTTACTCAACTGACTTTTTGTACTATTGTCGTGGCAAGTTCCTCTATGAGCTCCTCTTTGTGGTCCTGCAGATACCGAGCCTCATTCTGCTTCTCCTGCACACAAACACACACATACGTTTATATATGCAGTGTGCTCTGTTCAAAGACACTTCTTGACCAAGAACCATGGCTGCATCCAGCTGATACTGAGAGGACAGAAGTAAGAGGCCATGACAGAGAAAGCGGGAATAGAAAAGGGGACCAAATGGAAAAGAGAGAAGAAAGACAGAGACAGAAAGAAGAGGAACAGAGGGATGTCTCACCAAGCTGTCACTGAACTCCTCTGCCTTAGCGATGGCTTCCTCTATAGCCTCCTCAGCAACACGCAGGGCAACTGTGAGCGTCTCTGCCATACTGTGTCCTGAGATCACACACACAGGACCCACACATAAACATTTTCAGTCATGACACCTGCAAACAACCTGTAGACAACCTTTCATCCCATAACACACATTCCTACTCTTATCCAAATGTTCCCAACCAAAGAGGTCATAACCCTTGCAATGGGTCACGAGATAAACCGGAAGAGCCACCCGATGATTAATTGGATGTTAAAGAAGAAAAAATAACATTGTCTTGCTTTACACATTTGCATAAATGTTTTTGGATGTTTTGGATTTCAATAGTTTTACCTCGTTTGGGCTCCCAGGAGTATTAAAATGAAGAAATCTGAGACATTCAGAGGGAAAAATTACTTTTTGTGCTGACAAGGGCTCCAAACCAAGGGAGTACTAATGCATATATATATATACTAGTCCATAACCATTGAGTGCACACTTGCCCACGTACAGTTTCACATGGTGTGTGTTTGGGATACAGGTCATAGGAAATTGCAGATTAAATAGTCAACTGAACCCATTAAGAACAGCAATGTATTCAGACAGAGTTTTTGTGAATTTGATAGTACGATTGCTTTATTGAAAGTACAGTAGTACCATTGCCAATAGTGGGATAGTTAGTGGGCTGAAACTGTACATTAGTAGTTGAGGTAGCACGCTGAAAGGCAGATAGTTAAAGTGTTTATATGTTGTATTGACTTAAAAGTGGGGCGCACTGGTAGTTCACATGGGAAAGGAGCGGCTAGCTCTTGTTGCAGCAGCATACCATACCATGACTTAGTCATACCAAAAATTAGAAAAAAACAACAACATTTGGCCACAGGGGGAGCCACAGCGATCGGTCGCATTTTAGCCATTTTTAAGCATTTCTCTGTTGTTATAGCGCCACCCAGTTGCCAATTAGAGTTAAATTTCTCCAGTCACCTTGAGGCGTCCTGTTCTACATATCTACCAAGTTTAGTAAAAATCCATATGGCGGTTAGGCCTAGATAAGAAATTAGCTCTCTAGTGCCCCCATTTTGTTTGATGGGGTCAATAATGAAGGGGTCCCCTCAGATCATGTGTGGTTATATGCCTACAAAGTTGCTACATGGGATGTCTACAAAGGTGAAACCCTTGATATGTTATACACCTTTATGTGATGAGCCATGCCCTCCGCAATATTCATTGCCTTATAGAAGCTCAGTTTTAGTAAGTTTTCCAACTTTTGCCAACAGGGAACTTTAGATATTGGTCCCTAGATTATGTTCACCGAGTTTCATGCATATCGGTCAAACTTCCTAGGAAGAGATCGATTTTAAGTGTTTTTCAAAAAATTCAAAATGGCGGAAAATCTATATAACAAGAAGTTATGAGGCAAATTTGTTCCTCATGAGGAGAGGCATCTCTGTGCAAAGTTTCATGTCTCTACGACATACGGGGCATGAGATATGCCCATTCAAAGTTTGCAATTTCAATCGGTTGCTATAGCGCCCCCCATTGGCCAATTGATGTAATATTGCTTCATTCGCATCCTCCCATGACCCTCTACCACTGTGCCAAATTTCACATGGATTGACCAAGTCAGTGAGGAGAAAAACGTGGAACAGACACACAGACAGAGTTTTCATCATTATATAGTAAGATAAGATGTATATTTTTTCAAAATGTTAAATTCCTTTTACGAATCAAGAGGGAGCTATGTAGAGTGTCTGGTGCTGAAGACTACAAGTCTGCAAATGAAAAAAATCTGGGGTGTGGAGTTAAAGAGAAGTGAGCTTACCAGACCTCTTTAGCCTCATGTCTGCTTAAGTTTTGTGGCTCCAGGTTTTATTAGTTGCTACTAGCATAACACCCGAATCTCTGACCAGAAAGTCGGCGGTCAAGCTGCAAAGTGGGTAATACTCGCAGCAGATTTTGGCATGGAAGAAAAATATGTGGAACAGACACGGCTCTGCAGCATTAATTTTTATATTTTCCTTTGTCCATCATGGTCAACAGTGTTGTAGAAGTGCAATGCTAAATAGATTGAGTACTTCTTTGAGGGGTCAGTTGCAGAAATGGTTGGGAGCATTTGCCTGTCACCCTTTTGTCAAAAGAAAACAAAACTATGTTGAAACCTAGATGGTCATTGTGCTAAATTGTAGCTACATTATTACAGGGGTAGACAGTAGTAGTTTCTATAACGTGAAGAGTTAGAGACACCAATTAAACTGCATGTCTTTGGATTGTGGGAGGAAACCGGAGTACCTGAAGAAAACCCACACTGATACTGGCAGAACATGTAAACTCTGCACAAAGGGGCTCCCCCACCTCAGGTTTGAACCAGGAACCCTTTTACTGTGAGGCAACAATGCTAACCACTGCATCACTGTGACGCCCAGGTCCCCATAATACTTGTTTTCAAATTGTATTAAAGTAGCATATCATCTGACACAATTAAGATATGTTTGAGACAAATAACTCTGCTTTAATTTGATATATTCAACAGTATAATTTCTATTTTCAACAATTTGTCGCTCTGGATTACTCACCCAAGGAGTTATTGTGTGATTAATGTTATTTTGCAAACAGACCAGACCGAGGTTACATCCCATGACAGTTATGAACATGCCCACAGGCTCAAACGTTGATATTACAGAAAACAGAGTGAGATAACGTTACCGCTTCAGCTTCCAGACCGTGGTGGGGAAACACAGGGGAGACTTCGTTTTGCCTCCAGGGCCGAAGTTGATGCTCACTTTGGTGAGCTGCAGCAGTTATTCATGGACCAAGTGAAACCTACACTGTACGTTTACTACCACTTGACAGCTTTACAGCTAATTTCTCCTCTGCTCCGCTCAGTTATAGCTGTCTGCTCTGAGCCACCATCACTCTCTCTGTTGCTCAACCATACACTCGCTACAAACACACTACTCTGCTCTTATAACATGTGCATTAAACTGCTAGCCTGGTGAGAACATCCTGATGACATGAGCTCAGTATTCTGTTTCTCCTCTGTAGCAGTCTGGACTCAGTGCCACTTCCTCTTGTATTCAGAAATCGAAAATCAATCTGGGCCAATCAGGGACTGTGTTATAGTTGATGATGTAAAATGCAGGCCGCAGCTTGCACAACAGTAATGGTAGCTCCCAAAGCAACAAGAGCTAACTGTAACGTTAATTGCAACAATCACAACAATTAAATAAGAACTAGAGTATGCACTCGCAAAGTTTCTTGGAGGAAAAGACGTTTTTGCCGTTCTTTTGACTGAGTCTGGCAAAAGTTTGTTTTATCAGCTGACTCAGTTGGTGAAGAAGATGTTCCGCAGTGTTTTGTGACGCTGATTGGCTGAAGGACTTTGCCTGTCAAGGTGGGTACTCCTGCCCATTGAAAGCGTTTGAGGCGGCACAGAGTCCAAACTGATAGACAGACTGAAACAGAATGTTGAGCTCACATCATCAGGATGGTCTTAACAGGCTATGAAACTGCATCAAACATCCAGCAAATATAGGACTGAAACACCACATGTTTAAAAAGGACAATATAAATTTCTACAGAAAAAAAAAAAACAGTGGCGCCAAAAATTTTAAGTTTTTAGCTGTAGAGTTCCCCCTGAATTTCCCAAATGAGGCTTTCTGAGTCAAGCTTTGTAGTTAGAGTAATACATGTGTTGCACAGCAACAACAACCACTTTTCCATTGAGGAAGTGCATCAGATGATTGATTGTGGAGGCCAAGACGTTACCTATGGAAGCACCTTCTCCCTATTAATTTTGAAATAGCAATGGCCGATGGGGAAAAACCAACACTGGACCTACCAGTGGTGAAACTTCATCACTCAGTCAGTGACTCAGTAGGTGTGAGTCCATCTGCCTATTTTTATGTGCATTTTTTCATTTGTGCATAGAAAAAAACCTGGGTAGAAACACCAAAAATTTGAAAAAAAAAATCTAAAAATATCACAAAAAAAGTTCTTACGCTTGGGTTATGTGGACAATTACGTTTATAAATAAAATGTAAATGCCGCTAAGTGCAATAGAATTTAGTGATTAAATGATGATATCCAGTCATTGCATAGGGCACTGCAAGCTCTCCTCATCATCTCTGGATGGCTTTTAACAGCTTTACTGCAAACAGGGCTGTTACCAGAACTCTTCAAAGTACATAGAGCTGTAATATTAGCTGTTCAAAACTTTCCATTTACACTGTCCAGCATCATTCTGTTATTATTTCCCTGAGACTCAAACTTTTGTTTGGTATGCATTTTTAATTTCTCCTAGCTATTTGAGATCAGTAGGATGCAATAAAGAAAAACTAAACATCATCAACAATAATAAAGTCCCAATGTCTTCAAACGAGTATTTCTTAATTAACAGCGTCTCAGCTTGTTACTGTTGCTGAAATTGTCAAATTTGTTGTCACATCAAAATACAAACATTAATAATCGGAAATAAACAAGTTTCAACCATAAAATGTGATCAGGTTTTGTCCACTTTTGTGTCAGGATCGGCTGCAGACTGACTTGGCAGAAATGGCCGCCATCTTGTTTTCACATGGATTAGTGTATTGTGCTCTGACTACCACTAGATAGCATAAAAAGTGTCTATGAACGAGGACAACAGGTCTAAGTCAAGAATAATTAAGTATAAGGTCAAGTAAACCCAAAATGTTTTGTCTCGGGAGGTTATACATCCATTGTCTTCCTTTGTTTGAGGTTTCACCATAGACTGTATAAATAATGGACATAGCTTCCGTGAGGTCACCCACTGGTTTGTGGACTGCCGTATTGAAGCCTCTGGTTCAGCATTTCAGCCGTCGCCATATTGTTTTTTTGAAGAAGTGACCATATTTGGATAAGAGGCTGGAGCTGTGGAAGGGCAAGGGGTGAATCTGACTCATAGACTGTAGCACTGCCTCACAGATGACCTGTTACTTAAGCGGCCCCACCCTTAAATTACATAAAAAATTCACCTCCTGTATAGTTGTCATGAATTTTGAAATAAGCTAGAGACCAATTTTTTTTTTTTTTTGTACTGGGCTGTAAACATGTTTATATCTGCTGTAAAGTTTGGGCCATTTTAACATGGGGGTCTGTGGGGATTGACCCTGCTTTGGAGCCAGCCTCAAGTGGCCATCTGATGAACTGCAGTTTTTGGCACTTCCACATAGGCTTCATTTTTTCAGCCTCGGAGGGTGCCCCTCGGGTTTCACTGGTAGTCATCTTGTGCAGTGGTATCATGGCACCTGACTGGAGCATTAGCGCCAACCACTGTTTACCTCAATGAACCAACTCCCAATATACACAAACAGTAGCGGATGGAAAAGCATGTAAAGTCTTTCTCTGATTTTCTGAAATTTCAGTTAAGTCTATAACTCTGTGTCAGATCCCTGCACAGTCATTATGGGCTTCTCAAGAACTGCCATGATCTAAATGGCAGCTCTTCATCATTGCATGACCTTTTTACAATTACTGACAAAGAAATTAAATGAAGGTTATCATTAGACTGGGGCTATTTGTTTGTTTGTGTATTTATTTGTGCATGAAGGGGTGTTTGTTTACAGTTAATGGCGCGAGCATGTGTGTCTAATGTATTGTCTGTGGTGTGTAGGAGGTTATAATTTTATCTGTGTGCATTTGTTGGACACGGCATGTCAGTGGTTTTATGTGTATCCTGTGGATTTATGTGTGTATGGATGCGTGAGAATTTTAATGTGTGTGCAGTTTAATGATCAAACAAGAACTGTCGCTCTGCATTTCAATTCACTTTAGTGTTGTGTAGCACTGATATGATCACACACACACACACACACACACACACACACACACATGCTCTTTGCAGAACGGTCTCTAAGGCAACAATTAATAGGCAATAAACATAAGAGCTCAACCTTTTAAGAAAATGGAAAAAGGGACAAATGGTGGAGAAAAAAATCAATATGGCTACCACAGCAGGCAAGAAGCAACTGTAAAGTGGAAAAGATAATGTCAATTATAAGTGTGGCTGAAATTACCCATCTGCACTGCCACAATAATGCTGCCCGTTCATCACCGCATCTCTCACCTTCACTCTGTTTGTAGAAGGCGGAGTCACTGCCACAGATGCTGCCATCATTGTCGTTGCCGGTGCTTCCCTCGTGAACGCTGCTTTCTAGAGGGAGGGAGAGAACGACAAATGAAGTCTTCAGATAAAAGCCTTCAAACTGACGCCTGTCAAAGAAATGCAAATATTCTGCTCATATCATACCATATAATACCACAGCGGCATATTCTTTTGCACTGTGCCACGTTAAAAGTAGGTTACACTGCGCACAATGCCACTAAGCCCTTTTTTGTACTCTTGTCAACTGTATTCCCAACTCCATTTGTCATCTTGTCAATTGTATAGTTTTGTTTTTTCTACTTTGTGCCTTTCCCTATTGTGCACTGAAAAAAAAGCACACAAAAGAAATGAAATGACAATTGAAAGAAAAAGATAATTTCCTTTGCCTTTCAAACTAATCACTTGCTGGCACTTATCATAAGCATATTCTCAGCGTGCACAGGCATCACTATGTAGTGTGTTGTTTTCTTTATAGCTCATTCAGGCCAAGTCTCCTCTGAGTTAGTGCTATATTTGTGTACATATCTTCTTCAAACAAACTCCAAAATCTAGACTTACAGCAAAAGGGCATTCATGTCACCGAAAATGGAACATTTGTGATTATAGCTCTCAGACAGGTCTACTTAAAAAGCCATGGAAGCCTAAAGAAGGTGTAATGGTTACAACATCCCCGCCTTCAAAACCACATATTCCCTTAGTGGCCCATTAACTCCTTTTAGACAGTTCTCTTGTGGTTTGTGTTTAGTGCGTGCCTTTTCATCAGTCCAGCTGTAAAAATGAAGAGAGTATAAATGGACGTGCAGGTCATTAAAGAAGACAAACTGTCAGGCAGTGCAGGAGAGGGACGTGCCAGGCCACCAAGGTAGAATACAGTCATGCTACTGGAATGAGGGAAGTGAGTCCTCTAACTGACCACACTCCAGGTACATTTCCATGTCATCCGATGACCACAGGCCATGCCCACTCTCAAACATGGCTCCAGACAAAACACAAGAGCACCATGGCTCCAGTTCCACCTCTGCTCCCTCCTTTAGCTCATTTCCATGCACTAAATGGAGCCAAAACCAAACTTATCCAAATCCTAGGTCTTCTTCCAACACTTCGGCCCCTGCTGCTGAAAAAACACTAGCACGACCAAACTCCATGACTCCCATCCTTGGCCGGGGTCGGCTTCATCTCCGACATTAATCTTGTCAGCAGAGTCCTGTTGCTGTTCCTGCTGGACAGGCTGCAGCTTCTGGCTGAATGCACAGAGACAGTCGAATGCTCGCGGTGGTTTGGTGCAAGTCCGCCTTCAAGGAGCCAGAGACACTCACCGATCTCTGCCATAGCTGACTGCAACACCGCCAAGATGCCAGACGATTACACAGCGATCACTCTTCCACACCACAGTGTTGCCATTGGATGCATTCTTATATCTCCCACAAGCATATGTCTAACTACAAGACATTTATTTTGCATAAAAATGCAATTAACTTAATAAAACCATTTCAGAAGGGGTTTAATGAGCCCACACATGAAAGTATGAAGCCAGGAAAACAAAAACAAATACATCAAAATCAAAGGAGCTGGCATTTTCTTCCTTTTTTTCCCCTGACAGCAGCAGTAACACAGCCAGCTGTCAGATATGTTATACTATTTCAGCTTTACTGCAAGATGAACTGCTGTTTGTCAAAGCACTGCGACGTTTTAGAGCGGAGCCTGTAAGCCAGCAATCACAAACTCTTACATTCCTTCACAGAGACACGCAGTGACATGCTGTAACTCCACCAGAAAAGACTTTTTTAAATACATCTCTACTCGCAACATCTGCCTTTACAGCAGGTTCACACAAAAAATTGTGTAGCTCCACTTTGAGGAGTGTGTATTTGATTTCATGCCACCCTATGTATCTCTTCATTCACAGGCCCAGTCCTCCCAGTCGCAACACGGTGTAACAACTCCCAAAACCATTACACGCTCCACCCGTCCTTCACTCCCAGAGTTGTCTCACTCTGACTGAAGCGGCGTTCAACAGAGCTGTACTGTTCTCTCTTGGTTAGAGCTGAATTATAGTTTCTGGGAGTGTGGAAGGCGACAATAGGTGGGGAAATTACCTGCAGCAACTCAGGACAATGTAGACACAAAAGGACTGCTGTCAGAGAAAGTGAGCCGCCTCGCGAGAAACACACACAGACGGAGGGCAGCACACACACACACACACACACACACACACATACACACACCAAGAGAGACAGACAGGGAGGAAGGGAAGTGGAGGCACTAATATACAGACAAAGAAAGCTCCTGAGGACTGGGTATCATAACTCATGCCACACCGACATCAGCTCACTCTATACATACCAACATCAGCCTCTGTCACAACAGCCTGTCAGCATAACCTGGCCATCTGTGAGATGTTCAAGAAAGTGTCGCTGTCCCTTGTCAGTCATATGGATGCAACCTGCAGAAAGCCGTCCTGCACGCAGCGAATATCGAAGCAGGAAAATGTACCTATGTGTGTTACTGTCTATTGAGACAAAACATCACTTTTGATGAAGTGGTCAGAGGTAACACAGTACATGTACTCATGTAGTGTAGTGTTCTGTACTTCTCAGGAGGAATAAACATACTTTTTCATCATATTTATCTGAATATAATAAATACTATATATGAATACGAGAAATACCCAACACTACATAATGCAAGTTCATATATAAAAAGACATAATTCAGTCTTCTTCTTCTGGCATACGTCCTTAGACCTTCAACTTCCTTGAGGCAAGCCAGTCCAGTTTTCATCGTTGAGGTCAATTAGACCACAATCGCTAACTGGGGGCCAGTTTTTGGGGCAGCTGGTTATTGTGTTCCACTGTTTGTAGTGGATCCCCGCATTCGAAGTGGGCACTGTCCCCCAGACCCCATTTTTGCATTGCTGGCCCGAAGCATCATACGCCTGTCCTCAGGCAACTGAGGGTTGTCCATTGCTTTCGGGGCAGATTCTGGCTGTGAACATCTGTGGGGTCTTCAGTGTAGTGGTGGAGCTGGAGTGGAGTGGTGCTGACTTCCACTGGTCCCTCCATCTTGCCTTGACCCAGGCAGCCTTGGAGGTGTCAGATGTTGTTGTACATAGCAGTTCTTCTTTGCATGTTTGGCAAAGGGGCGCCAGGACTTGAGATGCAAGTGCTATGGGGTGGGATTCACTCGTCTGTGCCTTTCAAGCGAGGGCCAGCATGGCTGCTTCTGGTCTGACCTCAGCTGGAGCGATACCAGCGAACAGGCAGTTGGTTTGTTGTCTTGTAGACATCCGCACATAACTCAATAAACTGCACCCACAAACAAGCTGGAGAGCCGGTGGCCCCACAGTCTCAATCAGGGTTGACCAAAACCTAGATAATACCATTTTCTGAGACAGAGAGCCTGCACATTTATCAATATATAAGATTTTGTATTAAGGCAGGGCAGCTGGGCACACTGACATTTACAAACATTTGGCTGGCACTGCACCATCCTGGAAGTTTAAGAAGCAGTCTCATGCCATCATTATAGGCCACACTAAGTCTTTGCATGTTACTCTTCTATAGTGGGCAGTATACAGCGGGGTACAAAATGCTCTAAAGAGCTATCTTTACATTAACTGAGCACATGCTGAATTTGCGAGCAAACATATTAGCTTGTGCATAACTTGTGGCACTGTCACATCATCAGCTAAATCACTGACAATATAATGGCCGAGACATTTCATCTCATTACACACTCTAAGAGCCACATCCGATTGAAAGAATCCAGGAAATACTAATTTTCTGTCTTCTTCACTTCTGTTGGCATTATATTTGATGTCAGCACCATAGTTTGAGCAAATCTTCAACAGCTGTTGTAGGCCAGCTCTTTACGGGCAGAAGATTACCAGATCATCTGCATATATAACCTCACTAAGTAGTTTTTGTTTCTAATCTAACCAGACCTCAATTGTCACATCAAAAAACAGATTCATCTATAAACAGTCATTTGCAAAGGTTCAAAAGTGCACAGACTAATGATGCCATTGTGCAAATGGAGCTGTCAGATCACAAAATGCTTCTATGTGTCATTCAAAAAATACATATTTTACTCTTACCTGTAGTGCTATTTATCAGTCTAGATAGTTTTGGTGTGACTTGCCAAATGTTGTATACAGTTTATCAGCCGTAGAGATGTCTGCCTTCTCTCCAATATAATGGACCTAGAACTCGGCTTGTGGTGCTCAAAGTGCCAAAAAAAAGTACATTTGAAAAACTCAACATCAATGTCTCTTTCCAGAAATCATGACCCAGTTACTCAAGACAATCCACAGACCTTGTTGTGAGCAGTTTCATGTAGGAACTATTTTCTTTCTATCAAAATACACCCGCTAATGGTATCACCCCACAGAAGGAAGTGTGCATCTACTCATGGATGAGAGAGGATTCTAGGTGAGCTAGCAGTAGATGGACGCTTCCTTCTGCACAGTGACACAGTTGTAGAGAGAAAATAGTCCCTACATGAAACTGCTCACAACAACTTGGTCATGATTTCTGGAAAGAGACATTGCTGTTGAGTTCATCAAATCATTTTTGATGCTTTGAGCACCACAAGCTGAGTGCCATCTAGTTCCATTATATTTCAGAGAAAGCAGACATCTCTACGGCCGATATCTCCAGCACTCTGCAACTAGGCGATAGGGACAATATGTATTTTTGACTTTGGGGTGAACTATCCCTTTAAATCAAGAGCAGTGTCTGAAATATTGCATCTAACCACTGATAAAAGTACTGAGATCCTTTATTTAAAGCTGCTATAATCAATATTTTCATATTAACAAAGGATCAAATGACAATGTTTAATGCCAGATGCAATATTTCGGACACCACTCCTGATTTAACATCTACAGTATTTTTAAGATGACAGTGATAACTGAGAGGGGGGACACCACATCATTGTTTTGTTTGTCATTCTTTCCACTTACGTCTGCCGTTCATCAATGAGTCATATCTGACGAGGCAGCAGTGATACAATCACTAGTGTGACACAACAGAGCCATGTGTTCATTTC